AAATTTTAAATATTACCAACAGCTTTTTGGGTATGCATTTGTTGCTGTTGTTTGCGTTTCGCAGTTGGGCTTAATAAACTAAAATATCTGAAATGTGGTGGCAGAAGCTTTTTTTGTCCCATTAAGATTGAAGAGTGAATGACATGGTCCAGTGCAGCATCATTTCCATGTTTGGTATCGTAGATTGGCATGGTTGATTACTTCTGGAATTGTACGAATCAGACTCTCCTTGATAATCAGGGAATACTAAGATTAGTAGAGATTTTTTGTGAAATAATCAAACATTAAAAAAGGAAAAGAATAAACATGCTATTAAAACTAATGAGTGATATCATATGTGATTTGACAAAAAGGAAAAGTTTACCTTTTCCAATATAGCTGTTAGATTTCTGTCTAGGATAAGGATCATCTTGATTTCAGCAGTTTGTTTTCCTGCTGCTTTAGTGAAGCTTCTTTTCTGACGTTCTACTGCTTCTCTATGTGCTTACTGCCATCGCCAAGTCTCCCACTTCAGCTTGATTTTTATTCATTGGAAATTCTCATTGAAGCCTCATGTAAATTCTTCCTTAGTTGGCATATAGTTAACTCTGTTGGTTCATGCACCTATGCACTCTTCCACTTTTCCTGGTTGGTTTGATGTTATTTGACTTCTCCTTATGCTGGAACCCAATCATCATGCAAGGTCTTGAATCTCAAAGCACAAAATGACATTGCTATCAAAGTTTATGAATGACAGAAACTAAAGCTTCAAAACCTTTTGTTAGAACTGAGTTGTTTAATGTGCAAATTTCTTCCTGCAAAGGATTATGTTTATATTAGAGACTGGCAGTGTGAAATAAAAATTTTTTTAGCTTGTAGTGTGGAAGGGGAAAAAAAATAGGAGATGCGAGTCCCTTGGAGGATGGAATTGGGGTTTTGAATCCGATATAGTTGAGAGCTTGCAGCCTAGCTTGTAGTCCTTTTTTGGGTAGTTGGATCTTCTGGCTTACGCCTGTATAAGAAAGACAAGAGGTGAAACTGTAGTTGTATTATGGAAGAATAGTGCTCACATACCTCGGTGAACAGGTTACTTCATGAGTGGTCTTGTTTTGGTGAGGGAGGACGAAGCCTTAGGGAGGACGAAGCCTTTTATACTACTTATTAAGAAAATTTGGCGATTTATGTATAGAGGGAGTATCACAAATTTACCATCTATTCTCTTAGTAGATATAATTAAGTGGTGCTACGTCATGCTATAATTCATCTGCACCCATTATGTACATGGTGCTTGTTTATTCACTCAGTGACGCACTAATTTTTCTTCGCTGTTTTATCATCAGTTTGTCTCCTCAGCACTGGAGGAAAAAAACCAAGCTTAGAGTTCGATTTACGGCATCCAGTTCTCATAAAACGACGGGTGATGCCAAGCTTTCCGGAGGCAAGGAAGAAAGTGCCAAAACTCGAAAAGGAGGATCTGGTCCCTGCAGCTTTAATCAAACTCAGACCTATTGAAACGGATTCATTGTGTTCACTGGTCTCCGTAGCGAGCTCTTGGAAACATGTGAACCTCTTGTTCCTGATTCAGCAGCGCATCGCTGATTACTCTTCATTCAGAACTTAAGCCTGACTTTACACCCTCTTGATACATACAGTTATCCATTGTTGTAGAAGAATGTAGATTGAGTGCTTATACTTTTCAGCACACTTGCAAATGGCACTTTGTATTTTTCATTTGGATTGTGGTTCAATAGTGATACTTCTGGTTAGTCATTTTCATCATTTCATGTGATATACAATGCTCGCCAAACTTAATTCCTTTCCGTGTTTAATTTTTAATCCCTAGGGACAAGGTTTAAGGATCATGCTTAACTATTTCAGCTTTGAGTACATGCTTTAGGTGCCCATTGAAAGATTGAATTAAAATGCTTCCATAGATACACACAAGTAGACTCCAAATGGCATCAACCGAGAAGGTACTCACATTTACATAACGGGCATGCGATCTTCCGTGCATCGTGCGGAGTATATCTCGGCTAGTATATATTGTCACGGGCTTACTTTTTCAAAGTAACGGCCGTGCGGCACTAGCACAAAACAACTAACGATCAAGTGCTAGCTCAGCCTTAAGACCCCCAAAGCGTGCAAAGCTAGGCAATATTTTAAAGAACGGAAGCAAAGAAAAACTTAAGAAAGGTTGAAAGTGAAAGAATGATGAAGGCACAAGAGAGCTTAAGGAATGCTTCAGAACTCTACTCAAAGCTTGGATGCCTTACAAATGAAGGGGGCATGGGGTATTTATAGGCAAACCCCAACTCCTAAAGAATTCTAGAGAATTCTATGTACATAATAAAATAATAGAATTCTAGAGAATTCATACAATAAAATATTCTAAGTTCAAAATATCTACAAGTCTCTAGAATCTTCCACACAGTTCTAGCAAACTCGGGTAGCTTCCACGCGGTTCCACCCGTTTCTAGAGAGTTCCGGGCCTCTCTAGAAAATTCCAGAGTCTTCAAGATTTGTCCGGAGAATTCCACAAGGCTCTAGAACGTTCTGTCCCATGTCCGTCTACGAAAATAGCCCGTTTCGCATCAAACCACCCGAATTCGTGGTGAAGAAAAACTGTCCGTGACAATATGTATGATGTATGATGGGCGAGTAATTTTGTGTCGACGGTGTACAGTGAACACCTTGCCATATGAAAAAATAAATAAAAAAATAATTCTTACTCTAGTTTTTTACTTTTCTTTTTGACCCTTTTTGCGTTAAGCACACACTCTGGTGATTGACGGTAATTCAAGTTCAATGATGTACAAAGTTGATTGACTATTGATGTGTCCCTGTGGTTAGCTAGTCGGTGGGAGTACAATCGTCATTATCATCATTAGGATTTTTAAAATCTGATGATTGAGAGATTAATTTATTGCTTGCGTGCCAAAGATTTATGGGTTGGATGAATGAAGAATTTCGCTTGTACATGCAAAAAGAATTAACAAATGATGCCAAATTACTATCGAAGAGAATGACGGGAAGAAGAAACCTTGATGCCAAAAAAAAAAAAAAAAAAATTATTTTTACTACTTTCTACCGTCACAGTATGTGTTCGAACAAACACAGTGGAGTAATTAACCAAATTGGCTTCCTGCGTTCCGCTCAAAAACATATCCATATTAGTTAAAAAGTATTTTTATCTTACTAGTTAAATAAATAAGATTTTCTTAATCATAGATGGTAGAATTATATTCCCTCCGTCTCAAAAAAATAAAAAATAAAAAAAAAGTACTCCCTCTGTCCCATAATTATTGTCCACTTTGGATTTTCATTTTTAGTTCAAATTATACTAAAAGTGAAATATCAAACTGGACAATAATTTTGGGACGGAGGGAGTATAAATATTGAATCTCAATATAATCTTATTTCAAAGAATGGAAATAGTAGCGGTCGTTGCAAATACTGGGAGTTGGATTTAGCTGGAAAGATCATGAGTTTGAATTTTGCAATTTTAAGAATTTGATTTTTCGAGCCTGCCAAGATTGTGGCTCAGCTGACCTTTTTTTTAGCTTGTGTTGTTTTGTTTCGACTAATCAGCATTTTTGAATAGTCGACGTTTAGATTGTAAGAGGGCAGCTTCGTAAAATGGCTTCTAGAATCTTCAGCCGTGTGTTCTTCTTTCCCAGGAAGCTATCATCATAGAGTTATAAGAAGCCGTTCTTTGGCCTAATTTTGCCTCCGCGGAGTTGACACGAAATTGAGGTGGTGAAGTAATTAGCTGGCCGCCCCGGTTCGGTTCAACCCCCCTTGCTACCTTCTGTTAATTGACTATTCCATCCTTTTATCGGTCTTGTACTAGTATTTTAGAAGGATTACATATATATATATATTATGATAAAATCACCTGTAAATAAAAACGGTGAATTTATATGCAACCATTAATAGCAACATGTCCACAGTCTCCACACTGCATAATGGAGAACACATGGGAATCCATTAATGCAATCGTGCTGTCTGTCACATTCCTCGTCTCCTGTCAATTCATAGTTTAATTAGGGATTGTAATTTTTGAATCTTTGATGTAATTTTTGAATCTTTGATTATGTTCCATTTTTACATCTTCTCTATGTTTCAATAAAATAAATTCTATTTTTTGGATAAAAATTATTATATTTTTCCTTTTCTTAATACTCTCTTCATTTAGAAAAAATTATTATTTATTATGTTAGTTTAGTCGAACAAGTTAAAATTCTCTTAGACAAGAAAAAGACTATTACAATCATACATAATGTTCATTTTTAAATTAAAAAAATATATGCATATGTAGATATGATTCTAAGTCAAACCGGACAATAATTATGATTCTAAGTAAAAAAATATATGCATATGTAGATATGATTCTAAATAATTATTTCTAGTTCAAATTGTACAAAAAATAAAATTTCAAACTGGACAATAATTTTGGGACAGAGGGAGTATTTCTTACTAAGTAAGTATAAGTTAACTATAACAAGTTGAATTTTAAAGAGGTAACAAAGTGTAATTATTAGAATATGATTCTTCAATATCAAGTAATAAAATAATATCTTTGATTATTATTAATAATCATTTACAAAATGTTACATGGTTATAATCTTCTATCACTGCATACCAAAAAAAAAAAAAAAAAAATTTGTTGGATTAAACATTAAAGGCTTTATTTTGGATGTAAAATTAATTAAAAAAATACGCTCATATATCGTACGTTTTTTTCCACTTTTTTGGGTTACCTTCGTCCCAAGCGTTCTCTTTTTTTTTTTTTTAATTAGAAATACCTTCTTTTTTTCTTCTTTTTTTTTTCGCTTTGAGTGCATTTTGTACTAAAAATAGAGATTAAAAACCGATAATTACTTTAGGACAATACAGTGATTAGAATTTTGGGCAAAAAGAAAATCATAAAAAAAGAAAACCCAAAATCGTAATTGTAGTAAGGGGGTTTTAAATATAAAGTGCATAATGACACGTTAATGAATTGCCACGTCATTTCCCCCATTCCAACAATTTAGGCCTCTTCATAACCTCACATCTCCCTTTCCCATTCTAACAATTCTCTCTCTCTCTCTCTCTCTCTCTCTCCTCTCTCTTTCTCTCTCTTTCCCGATTCTCCCTAAGTTTCAATTCCCTCCTCGCCGGAAAACGCAGCTCCTCCGTCACGGTTTCACCGTCTTCCGTTAATTCCTTTTTTAATCAACCCCACAATTCTGTTTTAACTTTTGCGCCATCAGAATCATGAATCCGGAATAGTAAGTTTTATGTTCCTTTTTTGTTTTTTTTTTTTTGTGGTGGTTGTTTTGAAATATTTGATTTGGTCAAATTTCTTCGGTGTTTGAATTCAAATTTTCGTTTTGATGTTCTGTATCATGAATTCGTATGAGGATGGTGATAATACTCTGTTAGATCCGCTATGTTTTAAATCAATGATTACCGTAATTCAAGATGCTGCTTGTTTCGTTGATTGTCAGCTCCTTATTGCCTTTTTGCTGATTTTTGTTGTCTTTGGGATGTGAGATCCATGCGAATTTATGGAAATTGAATTGTAGAAATTGTGATCCTCTTACGTGCTCTTCAAATTCACGCATACAGGAGTTCTTTGTATCGCGTAATTTTATTTTCTGATGGATCAAAGAGAACTTTTTAATGATTCAGCTTATTATTAAAGCTATCTTTTTAAAATTCTGACGTGATCAGATGTACTGAAGCTTTGTTTTGCTTGAAATTAGACATGCGAATTTTGTGGGTTTGGTTTGTTTATCAATTGTTGACAACTCTCAAGAAACTTCCTACAATTTAGATTTTTTTGCTATATGCAGGTAATTTGTGCCGCAAGTTTTTGTTTTGTGGGTATTATTTCTTTATTTCTTACTGATTTTTAGTCTTACTACAATCAGGAGTACCACAACCTTGTAAGTTGAACTAGATTGACATCGCGCTGTACCAGATCAATGACGCTGGTGGTTTCTGTTGCATAAAGTGCTTACTTCACCTGATTGTCTTTATAAGTTATGATTCTTTTTTTTGATGGGTGATCATGATTCTTGAGATCTCTCAATTCTGATTTTCTTGTCACCGGAAAGATTATGCAAGTCTCATTAAGAGTTCCTAGTCTGTATCTTGTGATTTTCTGTGCCACACTGTCCACTATTATGATGTATTAGAATACAAGACTGAAAGTGCTTTGGAGCCTCCTGGTTCATTTTTTTGGCTTGTTCATTGGTCTGGATGGTTTTATTGTAGAGATTACATTCATTAATGTGCATTATCGCTCTCTTTTGGTATTTCGGTTTTACTTGCATTGATCAGCTGTTTGCTCATCCTACTTTTAGGCTATATAAAGTTCGATATTATATGGGTACATAAGTGGTTTGTTTTTTCTTTTTCGCTACGACACCTTACATTATATGCATTGTTTTGCAGTGATTACCTTTTTAAGCTTTTACTCATTGGAGATTCCGGTGTTGGTAAATCATGTCTGCTTCTGAGGTTTGCCGTAAGTCTTCTTTCTTACCAGTTTTCCATTCCTCAACCCTACTCGTCATTGAAAAAAGTTGATTTGATACATTGTCCTCTTGCAACTGTTGACCATGGTGTAAACAAAAACCGTATTTTCTTTGATTGCCACATTTGAATTGGTATCCTGTTGATCGGTGGTTATTAGACTTTGTTTTCTTTAACTTGTTATTGTTGTTGTTTCCAGGATGATTCATACTTGGAGAGCTATATTAGTACCATCGGTGTGGATTTTGTAAGTTATTGGCTGTTTTGTGCTTTAAAATTTGCTTTTTTAGTCTCATGTGAATAAAGATTAGAGCTTTCTGCAATCTTATTCTTGCAGAAAATTCGCACGGTAGAGCAGGATGGGAAAACCATTAAACTCCAAATTGTAAGCGCATCAATTACTCTCTTATGTTCACTATGAAACTGTTAGACTCCTATAAGGAGTGATTTGTTGATGAAATATTTTTATATAATCTGTAGTCCTTGAAGACTCGTATGTATGTCTCAGTGGTCATTCCCTTTCTTTTGCTGCTTGTTTCTGCCTTTGTCCTAATTTCTATTTCTCATTTGTGTTATAGTGGGATACTGCCGGGCAAGAACGTTTTAGGACAATTACGAGTAGTTACTATCGTGGGGCTCATGGTATCATTGTAAGTAGCTCTTTCGAACCGTTGCTTCATGTTTTGGCTGTTGCAAGACATCCTTTATTACGTTTCCTGACTGGCAATTTTTGCAGGTGGTTTATGACGTGACTGATCAAGAGAGCTTCAATAATGTGAAGCAATGGTTGAATGAAATTGACCGGTATGCTAGTGAAAACGTTAACAAACTTTTGGTTGGGAACAAATGTGATCTTGAATCACAAAGGGCTGTTCCCTTCGAGACGGCCAAGGTACAGTTCATACGGAACTTGGCTTTGAATTGTAGTTTCTGCTTATTCTGGATAACTTCACAGAAGATGTTTCTTAATGGCTTTAAGGCTTCTGTTGGATGCGTTTGTAATATTTTCCCTCTTGCAGGCTTTTGCTGATGAAATTGGGATTCCTTTCATGGAAACAAGTGCAAAAAGTGCCACAAATGTTGAGCAGGCTTTCATGGCCATGGCTGCTGAGATCAAGAACAGGTATATTGTTTTGTGGCTTCATAGATCCAGCTTCTTCGGTTCTATTCATTTGCTAGAAGTTATTCACATAGATCACAATATTTTTCTGTATATGGATTTTAGGATGGCTAGCCAACCTGCCATGAACAATGCCAGGCCTCCTACCGTCCAAATCCGAGGACAACCCGTGAACCAGAAATCTGGTTGCTGCTCCACTTGAAGTTCTTAGAGAAAAAGAAAGTATGGTTAGCTGATGGGTGAAGCACTTGTTTCTCCATGGGATGTAGAATCTACCGCATCTTAGTTCTTCGATGTGAAAACATCTGTTTGTCAGGGTTGCTCGTTTGATATTGTCATTTCAGAACTATGCTAAAACATCCATTCTTTTCTGTATTTGAATTAAAGAAACATTTGTACAAAGTAGGAAAATATTGGTTAATAGCAATATGTACTTACTTCTTGCTCATTTACTCTCAGCAGTTGATTTGTTACCTTTTCCTGAGTTTTACTTTTTCACTGGGGCTTTTCTGTTTATATTACACCATTCATGATTTTTTGTATTGTTGAACTTCATTGATGAAGGAAGGAAATTTTTACATGGACCAAAAGGAAAAGTGATTGTGATGTAAGATGGAGTTATCAGTCCTCAAGGTCCTATCAAATTACAACCTGAGGTTACGCCGAAATAAAAATGTAAAAAGTGATCCCTCCATAAAATGAGGAAAGAAACGAGTCTAATGGAAAGTTATATATTGACATCTTAGCAGCAAAAGAATCACTACAAAATGGACTCCTATTTTGATGCTCACTCTGTATTTGGTATCTTCACACCTGCAATACCCGGTTATTTTCACAAGAGATAGGACAGAAAACATGATTATTCATTATCTCTGTTGCTTCAGCCGATCAGTTGCCCTGTCATTTCTCATGGCCAAACTATCTGAAAGTTGTTTCGTTTTCTAGAAGAGTACATTGGTTACATAAAATAGCTTGTCGAGCTTTTCTTACTCCAGAATTGGTGACAACAGCCTGGCACTTTGCAATGTGTCATGGTACACGGCCGCTTGTTAGTTTGCCATGGCGATACAATGCGTTAAAAAATGCCGACAACTCTCTCATCCAAGAGACTCGGTACAATGCCTCATTTTCATTGATGGAGAGAGTTGACCAATTGATTCCGTTCAAAAGGCGACTGTCATATATGGTGGATTTAAATCGTCCTCTCCAGTGGCCTTGCGAGTCACAACAGTGAATGTAGATACCTTTCATCTCACAACGGATGATTAAGCAACACCTGCACGGGTCGAATCACTCATGGTATCTTCATTTTCACGAGTTGCCGCAAGAGACCATCATTGAAATCACACCTGGCTGATCTCAAGTGATCTGAGGGTTTGATGGAAGTTGTGCCAAAACCTACTCTACCAATAATCACCACAAGAGCATAATCCATTCTTGAAATGGTGAAACCTCGACTTATCTCTGACAATAATCTCCCTTTCTTCAATAGCTGATATAATTTTTGTAGCTTGGTGACAGTCATGGCACACTCTAAGATTCTTGAATATCCTGATTGGTGTACCTGCCGGCAACCTCATGAGACCATATGCGATGGCCAATTTCTCACTATGCCATAGAAGTAGTTGCTTCTTCTGATGCTCTCCCACGTTATGCAAATCAGAGTTGAGATGAGGGACATACCCCGCCAACTTCATTTTCTTCTCCAGCTCACTTAACTTTTCATGTATGCTTTTCAGTTCAGGGTGCATCCTATCTCCAGACAGGAACTCATGAACTGTATTTTCTATCTCCATCCAGCTATATCCTGGGGTCTTGACAACTCTATTTTCCTTCATCAACTTTCTTGTTCTAGATACTTGCTCCCAACAATTATAAGCAGCATATATATTTGCAAGCTGAACATAACCAGCTGCATTATTTGGATCAAGAGCACGCAAGTTGGTAGCAGCAAATTCAGCCACCTCCAAGTTTCTGTGGTTCCTACAAGCACCTAGAAGAGTCCCATATACAGCCACATGAGGCCTGGACATTTTCTTAATCAATCCCATGGCCTCGGCAAGCTTACCGGCTCTACTTAGGAGGTCTACCATGCAAGTGTAGTGATCTGGTTGGGGTTTAACTCCATATACGTTCTGCATGTTCTCAAAATATTGGATCCCAAAATCAACTAGACCAGCATGGTTACAAGCTGATAAAACCCCTACAAACGTAACACAATCTGGTTTCATTCCTTTTTTCCTCATCATATCAAACAATCCTAAAGCTTTTTCCGCATCCCCATGCTGAGCATACCCCGAAATCATAGCATTCCAAGAGACCACATCTTTTTTTGGCATCTCAAGGAACAACTTACATGCATCCTCCAAATCTCCACACTTGCAATACATGCTAATCAGAGAAGTTCCTACTGTAGTATTCAAGTACAAAGGAGATTTAACAACATGCTGATGGACTTGCTTTCCCAACTTCCGAAATGATAAAATACTACATCCCAATAAAATACTGCTCAAGCTTGACTCATTCACCTTAATCCCCACTTCAATCATTGTTTTAAACATCTTCAAGCCCTCTTCACCTCTCCCATTTTCAACATATCCTGCAATCATGGAGTTCCAAGTCACCAAATTTTTTACCGGCATCTCTTCAAAGAATTTCTCTGCCATTTCAACCTTACCAGACCTCATACACCCTGTCACAACTGCCGTATATGAGATCACATCCTTCACAGGATTTTCCCGAAACAGTTCCAAAGCCGATTCGAGATCCCCTGATTCAACATATCCTGATATCATCGTATTCCAACTCACACCATTCTTCAATGGCATAGCCAAAAATAAATCTTTGGCTTCCCTCATCATCCCATTCCGAGAATACACTGTTATCATAGTATTCCAAGAAGCAACATCTTTAATAGGCATCTGATCAAAATGATTTCTGGCTGCCTCCACATCACCGTTACGTAAATAACACGACAACATTAGATTGTAAGAAAAAGTATCTCGGTCAGGCATTCTCGCAAACAGTTCCTGAGCTTCTCTTAACTTACCGGGCTCTTTCGCAAACCCAGCCAAGATTGAATTCCATGTGATTGTTGTCCTCAGAGGCATTTTCTCAAATACTTCAAGGGCTAATACTAAATTCCCCGATCGAATCAGACGCGTTATTTTCTTGTTAAGTGAGACTACACCACCTGATGACGATGATGATACTAAATCCAAGGCGGGTGCTTTTGGTTCTGGTTCGGTATCTTGTGTTCCAAGTGCAGCATTGGGAGATTGAGAAGAGAAACTTCTAAGTCGAAATGATGGGAGAATTTTGAAGGGAAATGAAGAAAGTTGTCCATTTCTAATTCTAAGACGAGCACTCATGTTTTCATGGTTAGAAAGTGCAGAGGATTAATATGATGATGAGGTTGGCGCTGTACTATTTTAAGGAAACATCCCAACTGCTTAAATTGTTGGCGGCTTTTCAACGGTTATTATATGATCCGTAATAGGTTTCGAAATTTGGCGTGGCGAAAATACAAGATTTATTAAATTATAATTAAAATATTTACACTAAAATCTTCCTTTAATTTAACAAAAACTTCTAAGAGTTTGAAATTTATAAATCTCACGTTAGATAAAATCATAATCTTTTAAATATTTTGATCGATTTTCATTTATGATATACGTTTTACCAAATCGTGAAGTTCTAGTATTAAGAAATAGTTTGATTTTTAAATATTCCTCTCATTCTCATCAAGAATTCCATGTTAGCTAGGGGGTAATTAAGTTGGTATAATAAGGTAAATGAAGTATATTTTGTATCTAACATATGCAACCCACGTTCATTGTACCACCTATTTGTAAAAATTTTCTGTTATTAGTGTTATCAATTCCCGTTCTTTAGTAAAACCATAGTTGGAATATATTATTATTATTACTGGTGTTGCCTTCAACGTTCTGTACTTCTGTCATAATCTTAAGTTTAGGCGTTTACCTTAAAAAAAAAAAAACTAAAAAAGTTTGTATTTTGCATGATTCTCGAATCTTCGCGCGCGCTTAGCCCCCGGCCATGCAAATTGCAAATGTGACATACTGACATCTGAGTAATGGGACAGACCCGATGCTTAATGTGTAAGGCCGATTGATGCAAATAATTTCTACTATTTCCTCCGTCGAAAAATGAATATCTAAACTGGACTATAATTCGGGACAATAGAAAGTCAACTCCAAGAGTGCGTAATCCTAACATCCTACTTTGGGATAAGCAGACAGTAGAAATAGAAAGTCGCCACTTGGCTGGTTTCCTGTCGAGTGAAGTTCAACCCAAAATTAAAAATCTTTTTTTTTCGGCTTATAAATTGCTGGTTTTGGTTTTGGTTTATACAGACCTAAAAATAAGAGACGAGTGATAAAATGGGAAATCTCAGAATCATAATCTGGATTTACGTCATCCATTTCTGTTCTCTTCACTTTCATGTTAATTGTGTCAGACCCACATACCAATTCACCACCAAACTTTCATTCATCGGAGCAAATGCCTCCGGCGCCGAGGCTCTGGCTTTTGATTACTCCGGCGGCTGCCCGTTCGCCGGAGTTGCAGATGGCAGGATACTCAAATACAACTGTCCCAGTCTTGGTTTCCAAGACTTCGCCACAACTTCTCCTTTCAGGTAACACAATTTTCTTTTTTTTCCTAATTATTCTGTGAATGAATTGTAGAACCAAGGAGGAATGCGACGGGAAACCTGCACCAAAGTGTGGAAGAGTAGCAGGTCTTGGTATTGATTATTCGAGCGGTGGTAACCTTTACACTCTTGATGTCTTTTTCGGGTTCTTCGTCGTCCCGCCTTCAGGCGGAGCAGCAATTCCGGTGGCAACAGGCTACAATGGCACCAATTTCTCACTCCCCAACGCATTAGACATCGATCAAGCTTCCCAATACTTCACTGATGCTGAGAAATTATTCCTCACTGGGTAAATATGCTGTTAGTACAAGAAAATTCATTTGCTCTGTTTTTCAAAATTTTCCCTGTTTTCTTGCAGGAACCACACAGCAATCTTCGCCAGTAATGACACGGAAGGGAAAGTTTATAAATACGACATCAAAACTGAAGAGCTAACGTTGTTGGTTGACGGGCTAACTGGACCAGCTGGGCTTGCAGTGAGTGAAGATGGTGATTACCTGCTAATTGCAGAGTTCATGAAGAAGAGGATTCAAAAATTTTGGCTGACGGGTAAAAGGGCAAATAGTTTGGAGACATTGATTACACTTCCGGGAGCCCCAGATAACATTAAGAACTGCAAGCGAAGATTTTTGGGTGGCGTAAGGGTGTCGAAGCCGGAGACGGTGGAGATAGTGGAGGCGATTGGGATGATGTTCAATGGTGTTGGAAGGATTCTGGAGACGCTGAATTTCACATCGGAATACAATGGCAGAATGGTTGAGGAAGTGCAGGAATTTTCTAGCAAACTGTATCTTGCAGCCGCTTCCTCAAACTTTGTTGGTGTTGATAGAGATGACTTCAATCATTTGAGACTTTGATCTCTCTCTGGGTCCGTTTGAAATATTTGTGTGATTTGATCTCAGGCTTTGATTGAAATGCCATCTTGTAGCCTGCAATGTTAACATGTCCGACTTCATCATCTAATGACCATGGTAACGTTACACAACCGATATTTCGAAAGTTTAGGATGATACAATGCGGACAATTTGCTTCATTATGATGGGTTAATACTAACAGAAGTGAGAGATCAATACAGCATATTTAAAGAAGATTAAAGCATTAAATTTCATAATGATCATCTATAAATCCCTTTAAACTAGTGGAGCAAAACTGTTGTTCCAATAGACCACTCAAAACTGATCCCATGATCAAAAATGTATTTCTGACCCTACTAACTGCCTAGATAAAAGACCCAATCAAAAGCATCCATGCAACTTTTAAAACTAAAACCAAGGGGAATTAACCCCCGAGAAAGACTTCTAAATTTACACTCATTAAAATGTAATAGAACTTCTAAAAATATCATTTTTTTAGTACAGGAGCTGCTGAATGTAATTTGAAGACAATAGTAGAAAAAGCTCCAACAGACAATACCCTCCTCCGTTCCACTTCACTTTCCTCCCAATGTAGGGAAATGCTTAACATCTTCAATAGATGGGGCTGCAACATCGTACGAGTTATTGTTACCTCCCCTACCACGACCACGACCTCTGCCACGGCCCCCAGGACGGTAGTAGTTTTCACCCTCAGCAGGCTTCAAGAACTCATTTATGCTTACAGCCTGCGGATTATAACGAAAAACATATGTTGTCATTTGCCTATCAGAGAAACAAAACAGATCGATCTCAGGAAAAAAAAAAAAAAGAAAAAAAAAGACAATTATCAGAAAAAAGGCACACAAGGTAGATAACAATCTTCCATGTACAGAAAATAAAATCATGTTTCTAGCACCAACAATATTTAAGAAAAGCCAAAATGCTAGGACCACAATGGCTTCAAAGACAATTCTAATAACTTCCATGACAAACTAAAATTAGAGGCAGTCTGGCCTTCAAAAGGTGCTAGGTGTGACAAATTGAAGTAGAAAAACAGTAGCTATCCTGAATGTATCAAGACTATTTAATAATGTAATGGACTGATTCCTAAAATAATTAAAAAAAAACTGCAGGAAAAGACTTCCCACAACAAAAACAGTTTTGCCGTCAATTAGGAGTGCAGATAAGAATATTCAAATTTTACAGTTGGAACAGAATCTTAAGTTCCAAAAATCAAACTTTTCAACAAACATCCGGTCCACAAAGAGGAGACAACATAAACTTAAAAGTCATCCATGGATGTGAGGTTCATGCATCAAACATTTCAGAACTCAAATGACGTCCATGAATGTGTTACTGTTATGCATCCAATATAACACGAACTTGTAAAGGAAAAAGAACAAGCTGATTAATTAGAGCAACCAAAACAAGTACCTTCTTTGCCTTTTCAACTGCTTCCTTACGCTTGTCCTTGTCAGAACCCTGCGATCCAGCAGAGCACATGATATCCTACTTCCTCAATCAATCTTTAAAAAAATAACCAAAAAAAGGCTGATTTTTGTTCTGTTTCTGAACTCACAACTTACCAATTTTATGAAGATCTCATCATCATTCTTCTTGTTGGATAGCAGCTGCATGGATTGCAACTCCTTGTCCACAGAAACCTTTCTCTCCTCAGGTTTAACTGCAAGAAGGGCTTTTCTTTTCTCTTCGAGAACCTTTTCGTATTCCTCCAGGGTCATCTCCTATAATAGAATAAAAATAAAAATAAAATTAAACTACATTCTTCTCGGGGAAAAAAAGGTTGTACATCCTAATTAGAACAAACAAAAATACACTACTAAATTAGGTAGCCACCTTCTCCTCAGGTTCCTTCTCTTTCTCTTCAGTCTCATCAGCAGGAGTATCCTTAGTAGCATCACCAACAGTTTCCTGCCCTTCTTGTTTCTCAGCATCAACCTTCTCAACCTCGTTCACAGGTTCCTCTGACTCACTGTAAGAAAGATCAAAACAGAGTTAAGAAAGTGTCTGTGTCCAATCCTATGTTAAGTACAATCTGCAGTATTTGTAGTACTCACGGGACAGTCTCATCAGTCGGGGTCCCCCAATTTCCGCGACCAGCGCCCTCACGCTTAAATTCATTCCTACATGAACAAGCAAATAAATATAACATATGCAAAGCAGACAGAATATACAACACAGCTAAGCAGAGCAGCCTTAACTAGTTGTCTATAATTACTCACCCACGTCCAGTTCCACTACGACGATCGAACGCTCTCCTAGGAGGGCGTTCCCCGTCAGCAGCTTCCCCATTGCTATAGCCTCCACGACGGGGACCACGAAAACCCCCGCGTGAACCTCCATATGGACGTCTTTCACCAGTTTTTCCAGCTTCCCCATCTTCAGAGGCCCTGTACCCGCCAGAGTACCCATTGTTGCCAGCAACTGCATTTTCATTGTCAGCAAAGTCTCTATCATATCCACGTCCTCCACCACGGCCACGTCCGCGTCCTCGGCCATCACCACGGCCTCCACCACGTCCACCACGAGGACCATCATTCGTATACTCTCTCACTGCTCAAAACACATTTAAGAGAATTAAAAATTCGCAACACAAAAGTAACAACACATCAAAGGAATCAAGCTCAAATACTTCCAGTGGGCATAAGCAAGTGTTTCCATCATGGCCACTTCCTATAATATCCTCCAATCCACAGCATATCAAAATAACAAGAGAACACAGAATATAGATCATTGATAGCTAAACAATTTGTAATGATAGAAAACACATATGTAGCTAGGACCAAAGTAGGTACATTCTAAATTAACTCCGAATCACATTATGCAACATTTCAATCCATGTCCTATATAATGAGCAACAATAACATGACAGAAGGATGATTTTGATTCCACCATTCTGAATTCCAACATCACATTGGATAGAAACTTCATTTCATTCTCATGTTTGCTTCGCATCCAAATAGAGAGGTAACAATTTTAATAAAGCTGATATCTTAACCATTGCAAAATGGTACTTCATTAACAATTTATCTGATCCCATTACAAAATCATTCTTTCCAGGCATTCCTTAAAGGAACCTAATAAACACAAAGATAAACCAACGCATCCCTTTACTCTTCATCAGCTTGATGCATACTGACAGGCAATGCACAAAAGGCAAACAAATGTTTCACTCATACACAAAATATAAACCCTCAAAAAAAAGTACCCATCTCAAGAAATGCACAAAATAATCAATCAAAAATCATCAGGCCCATTTTCTTCTTCCTAATCCGTCATTTCACTGACAACCCAATAATCATACATACAAACAAAACACACAGCGACCCGAAAAACAGAGTACAAACTATAAGAAATCACATAAAGCAAACAGAATGAATAAGGAATCAATAATACTAACCAGGCTGAGCTGCGGGAGCCGGCTTGGAGGGAAGCTTAGCCTGAGGCTGAGCTTGAGCTGAACCTTTCTTGGCAGCGGGAGCGGAAGCCGCCGACGGAGCTTTCTGCTGAGCAGCGGCAAGAAGCTGAGTTGGGTCCTCATTATCATCATCACCCAAAAGGTCAAATGGGTTCATAGAAGCCATTTTCAGACCACAAACTTAAATATTAAGTATGTATAAAGAAACTCCTCAAAAACTCTTAAAGCTTAAAGCTTTAGGATGAATTTTATCCAAAAAAAAGGGATTCAATTGAAGTTATCCATACGATAAAATTAGATCTGTCCAGAAAATCTGTGCTATTGTAGTGTGTGAGTGTGTGTTGTTTTTGGGTGGGGTTTGAAACAAGAAGAAACGAGATGATGGCGGAAGGGGTTTGCAGAAAACCCTAACTGGGCGGCACACAGAGAGAGTTGAAGGTGGGCAGTGTGAGAGAGAGTGGAAAAAAGGCTAATCCTTAAAAACCCTACGAGGAATGATTACATGTGGACGGGTGTATGATAATGTTGGAGTGGACATTTCATATGGGCTGTTAGAATTTAAAAGCTGTATTGGGCTAAAGAAAGATAACGTTGGGTCAGTCCCAGTTAGGATTGTTCTGTTTATTATTATATGAAAGTCGTACAGCACTACAGCCTTCACTAAAGTGTCCGATTCTTCCATTGTCCATTTTCTCATTTTTCTTTTCTTTTTCTTTTTTTTTTAAAAAATAATTTGAGTATTAATAACTATTTTCATTTCAAAATGGAAGTAAAACAGTAACTAGTATGCAAAATAAAAGTAATAAATAGCAAGAACGATAGAAAATAAGCATGAAATACAACTACATATGGATTGGACCTCGTATTTCTGGGCTGAGTGGTGAGTACGTCGTGAGCTAAACCCAACTAGTGATTGTATCTCTAATGTAATTTATGTAGTTTTTATCAAGTCATAAATTTTTTCGTTTTTTTTTTTTTGATGCAAATGTCTTGAGATAAGTACAGTCAGTTAAAATTCACTTCTATATTAACCATGAAAATGGGAAATTAATTAAAAAGTAGAGAGCAAATGTTCTTAGTTTTCATGGCCGGGCTTTTTAATGAACTGTACATACATTATAAGTACATAAATTTGTATTTGCATATCTTTTGAATGACACATGCTACATGCTCAGTTTTGAGAACGGCTTATAATTTTGTCTTAAACCGTGCTGGAGATCCTTTTTCCCTGAATTTTATTTTCCTTTCCATAAAAAAGAAAAAAAAATTGATTAGTCATATGGAAAACTAGATGCCGATCAATTGTAAGATTGTATTGTAATGACAAAAATAAAAGACTATATTTTTTTGTTACTTTTTTCTCGATTTCATCCAATTCATAATTAGGTTGACGATATCAATTTTTCAAGGATAAATCAAAAGATTATTATTATATGTGTGATGGGAAAATAAAAAAAGTTTTTGGATAATTAAGAATCTTAAATGATGATTTGCAAGTCATACAGAAAGAAAATCAAACGCAAATTGTGTTGTGGCAGAAAGGGTATAAGCACAACAAACCAGCGGAAACGATTCCCAATAAAAACTCCTTTTTCACTATCAATAAAATCGGACAACCAAACAAGCAAATAATCAAGAACTGATAAAATAAAGGAGGCACACGAATTTACGTGGAAACCCAAATCAGGAAAAACCACAGGACTGTAACAACAATCAAATCTCCACTATCACAATAATGGAAAAATAATCTTCACCAATTGGTGGATACATAGGACTTCACCCAAAGATGGATTACAACAATACTCTTCCACACACACTTAAACCATAAAGTAGAATTGGAAGAATCTTACCAAAAGAGAGCTAAACTGAAAACTAAACCGGAGGATTTGTAGATCTTGCACCAATAACTGTCTATGTTTCGTCACTCGATCAAAGCCTTAAAGTGAAACATTTTCTTCTCGCAACACCAAAAAACCCCAGAACTAGCTTTTCGCTTCTCTTTTCTCTCGCACAAAAATAATGTGCGGCTGCCCCAAATTTGCTTGTCAAATTCGCGGCCAAAAAGTCACGGCTACATTGCTTTTATAAGCAATCAAACCAAAAAACCAAATCCAATTGGTTTTCCTTTTATTCGGCCCAACCAAACCAAATCCAACATGGATTTTGGCTTTAAATCATGCTGGGCTCAATTGAGGGGAAATATTGGCCCAACAATCTCCCCCTTCACTTCAATTGGGGGGTAAAACTAAACCGGCTTCCTGTATGCAATACAAGAGCTTGTCTCTACTCACAGCCTTCGTCAACATTTCGGCACCGTTCTCATCCGTATGAATCTTCTCAAGAAACAACGCCTTGGACTCCAACACATCCCGAATCTAATGATATCTCTCATCAATATATTTAGACCGCGAATTGAATGTGGAATTTTTTGCCAAGTGAATAGTCCTCTGGCTATCACAGTAAACCACATACCTCTCTTGCTTCATGCCAAGCTCTTATAGAAACTTCTGCAACCAAAGTGCTTCCTTACAAGATTCAGTAGATGGGATAAACTCTGCCTCTATAGTAGACAAAGCAACACACTTCTGCAACCTACTCTGCCATGAAACTGCTCCCCCTCCATAAGTCATCGAGTAACCAGAAGTAGACTTCCGACCATCAAGGTCACCTGCCATATCAGCATTTGTATATCCATCTAACATAGTATTCCCATTGCCAAAGCAAAGACTCAATCTGGAAGTACCCCTAAGATACCTGAGAATCCATTTCACAGCATTCTAATTCTCCTTACCAGGATTGGAGAGAAACCGACTAACAACGCCAACTGCATGAGCTATGTCTGGCCTTGTGCAAACCATCGTATACATCAGGCTGCCAACTGCCGAAGCATAAAGAACCTTTTTCAACTCTTCCTTATCTTTCTCACTTTTAAGACATTTTGCTTAGCTTAAAATGCCCCGCAAGTGGAGTCAAGACTTCCTTAGCACCGCTCATGTTAAACCTATCAAGAATCTTCTCGATATACTTCTCTTGAGATACCCAAAGCTTCCCATTCTGTCTGTCACAAGAAATCTTCATCCCAAGGATCTGTCTAGCTGGACCCAAATCCTTCATTGCAAAGGACTTATTCAACTCCTTTTTCAACCTGGCAATCTTTGCAGTATCATGACCAACAATCAACATGTCATCGACATAAAGCAAAAGAATTATAAAATCACCATCAGAGAATTTCTTCACAAACACACAGTGATCGGCTGTAGTTCTTTGGTATCCATACCCTATCATGAAAGCATCAAACTTCTTGTACCACTGCCTCGGAGCTTGCTTCAACCCATACAAGCTTTTGTTGAGACGACGTACAAGTTTTTCTTTCCCCTTCTCCTGGAACCCATCTGGTTGCTCTATGTAAATCTCTTCTTCCAAATCACCATGCAAGAAGGCTATCTTTACATCAGGCTATTCAATCTCAAGATTCAAACTGGTCACTATCCCAAGCACAACTCGGATCGAAGACATCTTTACAACAGGAGATAATATCTCATCAAAGTATACGCCCTTTCTCTGATTGAATCCCTTCACAACTAATCTAACTTTGTACCTCGGTTGTGAGCTGTTCTCACTTGTCTTTAGTCCGAACACCCATTTATTCTTGAGTGTTCTCTTGCCCTTAGGCAGCTTCACCAGGTCATACGTGTTATTCTCATGCAAGGATTAATTATCTCATCTTCCATGACTGGTAACCACTAATCTTTCTGCTCATGACTAAGAACCTCTTCATACGACTCTGGTTCTCCCCCGTCAGTAAGCAACAAATACTTATGAGCACTGTACCTGGTGGAAGGTCTCTTGTCTCTGGTGGACCTCCTAGGCTGAACAAGAGGTAATTAAACCGGTGGTGTCTCTGTTTCAGTAGTAGGATCATCGTCAAACTCACCATCCTGCTCTGTCTCAGCTCTCCCTTCAGGAGAATCATCTGATTGTGGAGGAACTGGATCTAGATCAACAAGAATCTCTTGTGAAGATTCTGGCTTCTCGCCATTTCCCATATCATCAATGGTCTGGTCTTCAAAGAAGATCACATCTCTGCTTCTGAAAAATTTCTTCTCTACAGGATCCCAAAGTTTGTACCCAAAATCATCATTGCCATACCCCAAGAATATACACCGCTTGGATTTTCCATCAAGCTTCGACCTTTTGTCTTTGGGAATATGAACAAAGGCATGACAACCAAAAACTCGCAAATATCCAAATGAGACATCTTTCCCTGTCCAAACTCGTTGTGGTAGATCACCATCCAACGGAACTGAGGGAAATATGTTGATCAAATCAACTGCTGTCTACATGATTTCACCCCAAAAAGATTTAGGCAGCTTTGCATTCAAGAGCATACACCTAACCTTTTTGGTAATAGTTCTGTTCATTCTTTCTACCACATCATTCTATTGTGGAGTCTTCGGAACACTCTTTTGAAGTTTAATGCCATGGTCTCGGCAACATTTCTCAATCGGACCTCTGTACTCACCACCATTATCTGCTCGAACTCACTTCAACTTCTTGCCAATCTCTCGTTCAACTCTAAGATGAAAGTCTTTGAACACATCTAATGCATGATCTTTAGATTTCAAAGAAAAACACCAAACCTTTCGAGCATAGTCATCAATGAAAGTAACAAAGTACAATGCTACACCCAACGACCTATCTTTCATATAACATACATCTGTATGAACTAACTCTAGAGGACTGGACTTTCTAGATGTAGAAGAATTTTGAAAGGAAACCCTATAATGTTTACCATAGATACAGTCAACACAAGGTTCTAGAGCAGTACCTTTCACCTCAGAGAGAAATTGCTTCTTACCAAGAATCTGGAGCCCCTTGACACTAATGTGTCCAAGCCTTATGTGCCAGAGATCAATGGAGGTATTGTGAGTTGCATTCACCTCTCCATTCTTCAACTTTGCATTCAACACATACAAAGAGTTCAACTTCTTTCCTCTAGCAATAACAAGATTTCCTCTGGTAATTGTCCAACGGCCACCACCTTCAGTGCTATGATAACCCTATCATCAAGTTTTCCAACGGAAATAAGGTTCAGACGCATATCCGGAACATGTCAGACATTCTTTAAGATAAGAGTACAACCTGTATTCGTTACCAATGATATCTCTCCCATACCGACAACATTACATGAGGCTTGATTGCCCTTTCTTACACGACCAAATCTCCAGGTGTGTAAGAGGTAAAGAAGTGTCTGTGAGGCGTCACATGATAAGACGCACCTGAATCACCGAACCAATCACTGTCGTGACTCGCAACATTAATTGTATCATCATCACAGTACACGCATACATCACTGGTAGTTAGTACTGCAGTAGTGTCATCATCACTTGATTCATCCTTCTTGCCTTTACCTTTTCTCGCTGCTAGTTCTCTCTTGAGAACATTGCACTCCCTCTTAAAGTGCCCATTCCCTTGACAATGGTAGCACACGACATCTTTCTTGGATTTAGACCGTCTTCTGGACTTGTCATTCCGATCACGTGGCCCTTTACTTTTAC